TCTTGCCTAAAATCAAGTTTCACATAATGGCAGTTAGATTACTGTATACTGGTAGGATTATCTTTCTCCGTCTACAAATAGTCTAACCACCCCCAAGTCATAAAAATCAGAGAGAACTAAGCTGGACAGAATATATTCCTTCCTGCTTCCTATCTCAGAGCAGTTGTGTGATTTCCTGAAGATTCTGTTGCTGGAGCTAGGGATAAAAGCTCATTTACACACACAATAACCTGCAAGTCTCCAGTTTCTATTCTTCCTCCCTCCCTCTTCTTTCCCCTCCCCCTTTTGGCACCAGAGAAGCCAGACTTAGGCGTGCTTTAAACAGTTTGAAGAGTAATCTGAAAGAGGAAGAAGAATCTGTACACATTGGCTAGCATGTGCCCTACCCTCTCTGCTCTTAAAAACAGCAGCAGCCCATCTTTTCAAAGAAGCTTGCCAAAAGAGCAGGAGCCCTGTGAATGAAGTGCGCTTTCAGGACCCTCCAGATTATTTAGATTCACTCTGCAGATCACCAATGACTGCTTAGCTGTCCAAGAAACCGGTAAACTGGATGTACTGAAGACCTGAAGTTTGCTTCTGAAAGTGAATGCAAAAGGACCCTAAAGTGTCAACCTTGAACTTAGCAGGTAAGGAGATTCGATGTTTCAGTGCTAGGACCAGAAGTGCATGTAGTAAAATTATGCTGATTTTAGCAAATTCCTGGGAATTTGGGGATCTACCTTACCTTCTTTAAATTAGGCTGCCAGCATGAATTCTTTCTGCTTTATTTATTGGTCAGAAATTTGATAATCTAATCAGTCTACTCAGTGCTTCTGCTAGGTAGGGGCTCAATGTGGCAAAATACATAGGGTACACATATTTTAAAATCCTATTTTAAGGGCTTCATGGAGTTTCTCTAATCTGTAGTGGCAATTTCCTTCAATGTTGAAAGAAAATATATAGTGACTGCAGAAGGTAAACCAGTAAAGCATTATCTGGTATTTTCACAATGTATTTTCACATTCATTATCCCACTTGAACCTCTCACTATTGTGCAATTTAGACAGGGTAAGTGTTACTATCCCTGTTTTGCAAATAAGGAAATAGAGAGGTTAAGAAATATTCTGGAAACATACCACACAACCAGAAATTGGCAAGTTATGACTAGAGACTGCAAGTATAAATCTCTCAGAACTATAAGGGAATTGCATGATCTATTTAGTATCTTAGAAATATCTGATGTAGACCAAGTTTACACAGAGCCAACACTTCATACATTTTAATCAAAATCGTTGGCCAGGAGCATTCTTCTACTTAGCAGCAAAGAAGCTGTTTTCAAGGGTAAACAAATGCTTTGGTGGGTTCCATCTGTACTAAAAAAAGAAAAATCCTTGAATTTTGAATTCAGTTGTTCTGCCTTCCAGCAGTCTGATTGTTTTGAAATCTAGAGAGAGGCCATGACACCATATATTTATCAGGTGATTATTCAAAAACAAAATGTAACTAAACCTGGACTTGGGACTGCATTGTATGCCCATCAGTTCCTGCAAATAAAATAAATCAGCCTGGGACCCAGTGAACCCCAAAAGAATGGTAGGTTAAAGAAAGTTTGCAGATTGAGTCCAGTCTCAGTCCAGCATTTCTGTATCTTCCTAATCTAGAACTATTAATTTCATTTTCTACTACATTTTCCCTCCTACCTTTAATCAAACTTTTGATGTGTCTAGGAACTAGTTATCTATAATAAAATCAAGATTTTTTTCCATGGTACAGGAAATTATAAATTTGCCTTTGGTGCATCATTTGTTGATAATAAGGAATTAAGGGAACAGCAATGATCCTTAAAGTACATATCCAACCTTGTGCATTTAATACCATAGAGGGTAAGTATCATAATCTCCCCAAAAATATAGCTCTGTGTGGACGACTACTTTGATTCATTTTGTTATTTCTTATGATCTTATTAAAATCTCTCAAATACATTGCAATCCAGTTAAATAAGTATTGCTTAAGCTCAATACAGTATGTGGCACAAAGCAAGTGGTAGTTCCTGCCTTTGAGGAACGTACAGGTATATCTGCAGGGTACACCAAGGAACCTGATCTGGCTACATAAAGGGATTGAGTTGAGGAATAACAGAAAATGAATTTGGATAGAAATTAAAGACAAGATTATTAGACATTGAGTTCCAGGCACTTTTTAATGGGAAATCTTATCAGCAAACTGAATAAGCGATGAAAAACATTTTGAGGCGATGAATCTGACAGAGTTTCACAGTCCTGACTACATCTAGAGAAAAATGGAGATGGGAGTAGAATTTAATGAGGCTCTAGGCTAGGTTGATGGTAGTGGAAATGGACTTTAGAGGAACTCAAGAAACATTTAAAAGGAATAATAGATGGAAGCTGGTGAGTGATTAGATAGATATAGGCAGCATAGAAATGTCAGAGATATCTCTGAAATTTTGGACCTGTGAGATCTATGATGCTACTACTATTCTTAGAAATAGGTAATTCGAGGATAGAAATAGGGAGGTTAGGACATGAGTAGTTCTGTTTTGACCTACTCAGTTTGAAGAGATGGCAAAAATTCCAAGAAGCAATGTCTTATGGATGGTTGGAAATAATGGCCCTGAATGTGAATGATGGGTAAGAGGTACAGGCTGAAGTTAAATCGGGGCAGTATGGTGGATAGCCAAGGCCATAAGAATGGCTCAACTTAGAAAGCAAATCTAAGAGATGACCAAGGACTGAAATTTGTGCAGTGCCTACATTTTTAGGCCAGAGGGAGAAGAGGTTCCTAAGAAATAAGAGCCACAGAAATTTTATAGGCACCCCAAAACACCAGAAAAGGTGTTATTGGACACCCCCCTGAGTTGGAGGGAGAGGGCTGTCCCCTCTTCGGTTCTTGTCAGTCTCTCAGTAAAGACTTAAAACTAATGATACCAAATGATTATGTTATAGCAAAGCAAATTTATTAAAGCGGCAAAGGAAGCAAATTTATCAAATAAGCAAGGCAAGCAAATTTATAAGGTGCAGATGGACTTCCCAAGTAATCTGGGAAGTCCCTGCCTGGCAGAGGTTTAGTATTTTATACCATTTTGTCTATAGGTTTTAAAATTCCTTTGCCAGATATTTTGGTAAAGATTAATTCTCAGGGTCTCTTTTTCACTTTGTTGTGGCCTTCCCAGAATTCATGAGAAGTACCTGGCAATTCTATCTTTCCAAGCCTGAGACTGCTGGCTTCTTTGTTTAGGGAGTAAAATAAAACTGCCTTTTTTCCCTTTCCCTTCCCCCCTCCTTTCCTGCATTCTCTAGTTGGGGAGGCTTTAACCATTTCCTTCATGTGTGCTTGGTTTGGGGAAGATAATAACTTGTTACTTACAAGCCAGCTGCAAGCTGTCCAAACTGTTTAGCCTTGTTTAATTTTCTTGTCTGTTTCCTATTCAACCTGCTTAGGAATTTTCTTAGCTTCTCACTACCCTGCAACAGAAATACAATTCTTCTTCTCAAAAGATACCAAGTGTCCTAAGGGAAGGTATCAAGTTATTTATTCATAAATTTCCCATTCCCAACATTAACTAGTATAGTGCTTCATAAACACCATGAGCACTCAATAAATATTAAGTTATTCTGATATAAGCAAGCATAGAAAATTTTTGCTTCAAGCAATCTTACAGTTTGAATTCTGTCATAAACTCTGCATCCTAACAGTGGCTGCTCTAAACTACCTTGCTGCTCTGATTTCCGTGGAAAGGAAATGGCCTGGAAAACTGGAAGTTCATCCTAGTTTTTTCTTGTAATCAGCTATGTGTTCTTTGGCAAGTTACTGAACATCAGTTTTTCTTGGTTTCTTAGTCTATCAAATGTAGCAATGAGCTTATAGGAATATTTTTAGATCATTTAAAATAATAAATATAAATATGAAAGCAACTTGAAAATATAAACCACCATCCAAAGGGGTTTTGTTTAAAGTCCATTCCAGGTGAATAAAATACACAACAAACTTGATAGCATGTGGAGGGAGCAGGGCCAGTTAGTTCCTGCTCTCAGCACTATACCTCTAGACCAGGAGCCTCACTCTAAGTATCAGCAGTCTCATCCAGCTCCTACAGCCTGCCAGTAGGATCCAGACCTCTGGTTACCACTAACTCTACAATACTTGTGCAAGCTTCAATGTTAATTTTGAAAGGAATAAAATATTTAAGAGTAGTATTTAAGGAGTATTTCTGTGAAAACACTATCCATGTTTATTCATTAGCTATTACTTCCATTATGTCCATTGTTCTTCGGATTAAATGCTAAGGATCAAAACAAGTTTTACATCAAGTTCTGAATGTAACACAATATTTCACTGCTGTGTCCCAAAGCTACATGTCCAACCACAGATTTGGTTATAATACAAATCAGGTTCCCAGAATATGTAGGTAGGTATAATGCATGTGTCTCTCCATAAAATACAAAGACCTAGAGTTATTTTTATGCCTCAAACCAATGTTATTTGGGTTTCAGGCTACTTGGATGTCTACCTGGTATGATTTGAAAGCCAATGAGAAACATATTTTCCAGTTCAATCAGGGTGAGGAAACTTCCAAGAGACAGATTCATGCTAATCAACCCTACAAAAGTGGTTCATGAGTCAGAATACCATTTGTTGATTTGCATTGAGGAAATATAACTGCTAAGAAGTCTTATAGACTAATAGCAGATAGTGGCACATCATTATCCTTATAGAAAAAGGCAACAGAGGAAGTAGTTTAACCAGATTATAAATCTAAGCATCTTAATTCATCAATTCATGTTACAATACTGGTACTAAAACACCATCAACTGACAATTATTTTTGCCTTCAATTGAGAACTCTTTATAGGTTGGTAGAGAAGATCACTGTTTAAACATAAGTCATGCACCACAAAGCTCTTTATCCTGCTTACTCATTTCATCCCATCCTATCATGATCCCTCAATTCTTTGTGTCCCACCGGTTTTGCTTCTGCACTTAGGGGGGAGTTTATATGAGAGAAAATAGAAAGAAAAATCTATAAATATTTGGGAGAAGTGAAGGAGGGGCCCTACTAGAAATAGGGGGAAAGAGACAAAACAGAAGAATAAATATAGACCCTTGAGGAGTGCATGAGTGTGGGTGAGTACTTAAACACAGAGTTGGTTTTCCTTTTGATGGATAAAATGTAATTATCTTTTTTTTAACATATCTCTATTGACTTCAGAGAGAGAGAGAGAGATAGAAATATCAGTGATGAGAGAGTTGTTATCCATCGGCTGTCTCCTGCACGCCCCTGACCAGGGATCGAGACCGCAAACTGGGCATGTGCCCTGACAGGGAATCAAACCTCGATCTCCTGGATCCCAGGTCGATGCCTAACCACTGAGCCACGCCTGGCCAGGCTGTAATTATCTTACTTAGAGTGTTTGTTGAATCAATATATCCCAGACTTTTGAGCTCCTACTGATATGTGACTGATGGAAAAGGAAAAGGAGCTGAGGGCTAGACTTAGAGCCCTGTGACATAGTTAGGCTTTCTTTTATTTTCCATCAACCACTTTTCCTTAAAAAGGAAAAAAATCCAGTTTGGAATCACATTTTGAGATGTCTAATAATATAAGATTTGTTAATATTTCTCATCTATTT